GGAAAATCAATTACCGGCAATTTAAATGTCATTTTATTCTTTATACTTTACAGGCAGTTTAAGAAGACCCTCAAGGCACGATATTTAAAGGAATTTTTCATTTTTATTGTTTCATTTTGAGCAATGTTAAAATCAGTGCTCCTTTAAAACGGTATTTTTTTAAAGCGTTTTTTTTCATTGATACATGTCCCCCAGGGCAGTACCCGAATCCCCATACACCTTTTATGGCCAATAACTTGCATATAAGCCTTCAAAATGGGGACATTAGCATTAACCTCCCTCTCCAAGGCCCACAAAGCTGATGTCCACTCCAGTAATGCAATGCTGAATAACTGTTATTAAACATCTTCATACTGGGAAGAGAGGGTATAGGGATCCTAGACATCCAGGGTGTAACAGACATAGACTCCAGACTCACCAGACCTTTCTAGCATCTCAGTGTAGATCCACTTTGAATACAGCAAATAGTATTTCAATTATCAGATGAGCAGGAGATGAGTACAGATCCTCAGCAGGAGAGACACCAGCCATGCTCCAGAGGTCCTCTATGTCCCAGGCACCTCCAACAGACATCAGCTTCTCTGGTTATCCTCCTCTGGCAAACAGCACAGGCCTCCACCATACTGGAGGCCTAGGGGAACACTTCCCACACTCCAGCCTATGCCCACCCACAGGCCTCAGGCCTAGCCTGGGGGGCAGCTGGACAGCATCCAGCCCTAACCCATGGCTGGTCTCAACTAGTCTCAGCACAAAGCAATTCCCTCCAGTATATGTACCCTATCACAGCATGCACCACTGGTTGAGAGAAACCCAGTGATTGGCTGCTGCACTGGACATACACTTACAGTGTCCCTCATTGGCTGTCCCACAATACAGCAGAGTCACACTCAACCCAGAGGGGTACAGTCAATGCCAGACACCTGGAATTACCAGATAAATGCCACTATAATCCAACCAGGCTGACTACAACCCTAGCAATCACATGTCTAGTAGCCGCCACACAGAAGGTGATGGCGGCTACACTAGTCATGTGATTTCTGAAATTAATAACTTCTTTCTGCTCCTGCCAGATATTATTGTGTCTCACACAAGATTTAAGATCTCAAGATTTCACAGGCAGTCAGGGCAACAATAACAATTGAATTAAGCAAGGTAGATCAGTAATCCTATCTATGCGGTCTAGACAGTGGTATTAGCAATGCTGATATGCAACTGGGATATTATTTACAGACAACGACCTTTAAATGTGATGACAATCTTGAATGGAATTTGTGAATTGTTTTAAAAGTGTAGCATTATTTTCCTTTAAATGATTAGTCAATTGTATTTATTTTTACTTGTATTCTTCCTGCCAGGAAGTGCAAGGCTGAGTGTTAGGCTTGGAAGCCCTAACAGAGACTTTTCGGGCCTGACTCTCAGGGGTACATGAAGAAAACGGAAGTATTTTTAAAATACAGTTTCCGGCTCCTGCTTACATCCTGAGGTAAGGCAGGTGATGGGTCAGCATCTACTCTTTGCCTTACAGCCTAACACTGAGCTTTCAGCGCATACAGGGAGAAATACAATTACATAACAGCATACACAATAGTCCCTGAGAGGTCTGCACTATCATTACAAATTCAGAATGGAGTTTTAGATGTTTACAAATGCCAATTCCTGATTGGTTCTTTGCAAGCTTCTTAGAGACTGAGGCTGCGTTCATACCTGGGCATACTATAGGCGCGTTTTTTCTGCTTGTTTTTCAGCATGTTTTTTGCGCGTTTTTTAGCACGTTTTTTTGTAAAGTGAAGCGCCCGCTAGACGCTCGTTTTTATACCTCCCTGGCGGTATGATTTTTAATTTTTTTTCCTTTTATTTTCTCTATCTTCGTGTTTTTTTTAAACTTTCAAACTTCCCGCCGGTTCCGCCCCCCTGCGACACGGACGCTCGCAAGGGACAGAACCCGGAAGCCGGCAGCGGCCGGAGGACACAGCGGGGATCGCGGACAAGGTAAGACCTACGCTGTATTCCCGAGTGTGGCTTGGGGTTACCGATTTGTTAACCCCGAGCCACACTCGGGAATAACAATGGATACGTGCTGAAATACGCCCCAAAGAAGCTCCTGTACTTGTTTGGGTGTAGGGCGTTTTTCAGCGCGTTTCCACGAGCTGAAATACGCCCAGGTGGGAACCATGCCCATAGGAAATTATTGGATTTCACTTGCTGAGCGTTTTTCATCACTTCAATCAGCACTGAAAAACGCCCAGGTGTGAACCCAGCCTGAGAAGTAAAAAAAATAATGACAAATGGTAAAAAACGACAAACTGTATATATTTACATTTATTTTTTCATTATGAAGCAGAGACAAGTAAAACATTAAACATGATATTTATATATATATCGGTGGAGATTGTCAAGGCACAGGATTAAAGATCAATTGCAAGGCGTTAAGTACTGAATAACACTGTTAAGAAAGTGATTTGTTGTTTTTTTTTACACCAGTACCGTAAGTAAGGGATGACATTGTCAAATATTAGTATGGTTAGTGTGCTTTCCTGTACACTGATGGTAACTTGTAGCTGGACTTGAACTTTAATATCTGAAAGTGAAATTATTATTATAATTCAGTTTCAGGTATGGGATCTATCACCCAGAATACGTTTTTTTCCTGAAACACTCACGTACTTATACACACTTAATGACTGTAATTTTTCTGTTTTTGATTAACAACCACATACTAAAGTGGTCCTAAATTAAACTAATGAAGATTTACTGCCTGACAAGGAACATCTAGAAAAACTTTTTGTGCATAAGCAGGACCCTGATGCTGGGACTGCTATGTTGGGCTGCAAAAACACATCATTGCAACATACAAAAACACGTTATACGCATTGGTGGGCTGTGATGCCTATCATTTTTAATGGCACCTCAACACACCTCATCAACATGCATGCATTGAAGTGCACCACAATGTGCAGTAACACACTGCCATGAATGTTGGTGCATGCTGTTACAAAAAATTGTGTATGCAGCTTTTTTGGTGCTTAAGGCAGCTCTTTCAAGTGAATCCATGTTGAAGAGCCGCATAATGTGCATTAATGCAGTGCAACAGTGTGAACACAGCCTTAAAGATCTACCCTTTGACTTGACTCCCTTCTAAAAAATAGTAGTGCAATCCCTGTACCTTGGCAGTCCTGTTCTGTACCCCCGTAGCTGTATATCTGAAGTGTATGACCATCTTCATCACTGATGCCTCGAAATTCAAGTCTCATGAGGTTTGGTGATCTTACTACGGTGCTACTCACTGATACCCTTTGCTGTAGAGGAAGATGTTACTGAGGATCCACAGTTCAAAGATCTCGCTGCTTACACTTCCTTAATTTTCTGGATCTGTGCATTATGCATCTCTACATCTCTATTATTAGATAATGAATTAACTGCATGGGGCCTACAGGCAATACTAATAAATTGTTATTTGCCATTTAATTGGATTTTATGGGCACAACTTCTACAATACAGCTCATCTTTAAAGAAGTCACCCTGCTCCAAACAAAAACATTTCCATAATTTCTTTTGCAGAGCTGTGATAACCTTTAAATTCTACATATTAACAATTTTGTCTTAGTGTGTGGAGCTGGAAGGGCTGTCAATGCACAAATCTGAAGGTGATCTCCTACACCAGACATCCCCGATAAATTGTTGTCTGTGCTCACCCTACTTTAAAATCCATGGTAACCAGTGTGAGCCAGGATGGGTCTGTGAATACCCTCACCATTGACAGTTATACCAAGGACATTTGATAAAAAGATCTGGGTCTATAGCACAGCAGAAAGAGCAAATCCACTCACAATCCACGTAGACTTTCTGGAGTTTTTCCTGGGGTTTTGTCTAGGTGGTGTAAGATAAAATGATTTGTATCTGGTCTTATTAGAAAGCATACAGCACATTTGCACATTGTTCTTTGTCTTATTTCATAAAGGTCATGATGTTTGTTTCACAAAAAAAGAAAAAAATGTTTTTTGTTTTACAAAAAAAGGTCATGATATTTGAAGATAAGCATTTCACATGTGTATGACTAATTCCTGATACCAAGTTTTTTTTCGGCCTATATGGTAAAGTGCCTTGCTTCTCAAATGAATCTTTTGGCGGTTTTTGTAATAGATTATGCTGCTATTTGGCCATTACATATGATGGCTCCCTTTGGTTCCTAACCTTAATACTGCCAAGAGGCGATGGCTGTCTGTTGTTTGAGCTATGTAGCATCTTTTGGCTTCTCATAGCTCTCAACGCACACCCTAATATTTTACTGATTTACTCACAAGGGTCAAGAAGTGGCAAGAAAAAAAATGTTTTAAAAACTAGTCAGAAACTGTAAATATTGTGCTTTTGTGCTGCCACTTTTGCCAACAAGTGCCTTATGGAGGATATAACCTGGACTAGAGTCAGTCATTTTATTCAGAATCTTAATTTAATGAACCAGTCCATCCAAAACTGATATGTTGGTTATAGGTGTGTGTAAGATTATTCATAAACTGGCTAACTATAGTGATCAGGGACTCTGCACAAGGACTTTCTAGAAGTATTCAGCCCTGCCGCAGGTAATATAACAAGTGATAAATCCAGTAGGATAAAATAATAACCCCGATCAGGACAGGAGAACAGGCACAAAGATGAAATATCAATTTTGTCAGGACTGATCCTTTAAGCGGATGGTTTATTTGGTTTGGTCATGCTCCTATTGGTTGCTTATATTTAACCAGTTTTTGTACAGTTCATAGAAAAGGAGCCAATTTCTTTTTTCCATATAAAGTAAATAAAATGACATGCACAAGTACATATACTACATATAAAACTTTGCAACATATTGTTTTCCTTGCTATCCCTCTAATAAACAGGTAAGACTTAATAGCTTGAAACACATATATTAACCCACTGATTAAACATATGGTAGACTTGTGCTAGTTTGTCCCTTAGCTAATGTGCATGCTAAAAGAAAAATATAATTAAAAATATTTCTTTCAAAATAATCTCTTAAAAGTAACAAACTTACAGATGGACCAGTAAATGCAAGTACAATTGCCAAGTATGATAGAGGTACAGTGTGTGGCAGTTTATACACAGGAGTAAAAGCACAGGTTAGTGTTTAGATCAAGAGCTCTATAATATAAAAGGCTTTGATCTCCCAGAGTGTCCTGATTAGAGGGAGTGCATTTGCTTCATAAGTTTATGTAACAAGAGAAACATTCAAGTTGACTGAAACTGGGCACGAAGCAGATGAAACGGATAAATGACAAAAGCAAATATGAGCTAAAAAGCAGGGTCATTTCAAACAGAATACAGGATGTGTGTTCAGATTCAAAGGTGTTATCCACATGCATGATTTTCAGCTTTCCTGTCTTTAGGAATTCTGTTTTATCGCTGCTTATGAAGAAAGGTTAGAAAAAGAAGACCTCTGGGAAGAAATACTACATACTTCTAAGTTAGTGAAGGAGCTCCCTGCATCACTTGTGTATTCTGGATAGGATGACGTTGAGGATATAATATTTTTTAGTCTCTGAAGAGCAATGATTAGCAGCAAAAGAAGAAAGGCCAATAGGCTAAGAAAGATGGACACGTAGACGTAAACGTTTGATAACCGGTTAGGTGTTGATGATGCAGAATCCACTGAGGTTGAGAGAGAGGTAGGGAACAATTCCAAAAATGTTCCATTACCGATGTCTTCTGGTAAAACTGCCGAAGGACCAAATCCAGACATGGTGGCATGGGCAATGTGTTGACTTTTTGAAAAGATTCAACTCATGACATCTTTGAGAGCCACCAGTGATGTTAGGAATCAGTCATCCAGTTTCCAGAAGGAAAGGTCAACCTGAAATATATAATACATTTTAGTTGTATATTATTTGCAAAAGATATTGGCTTTTATATATATGCAAAAGATTTTGGCTGTTAGCTTTGCTGCATTGAATAACGCTTTTTCATTAAAGGTGCATTTTACCCAGAAGCTAGACAGTTATTTTAAACGAAAGAGACACCAATACCTTGTACAAGCAGGACAAAATGACAGTTTTTCTGCAAAGGACCCCCTCCTTATACTCACTTTGTCTGTGTCTTCCTCACTCGCAGTTGGCAACTGGGGGAGTGGTGACATCTCTCCTTTCATCATGTAACAATGCTCGGGTCTAGGACTGGCTGCTAGGCCAGAGCACTGGCACAGGGGAGGAAGTCACATGCTCTCCCCATACCTGAAAGCATACCTGAAGCAGCAGAGCGTTCTATTAAGGTGTGTATAAAGGGTTGTGGTGTGTATAAAGGTCTTTGCAAAGACCTTGTCACTTTAGCTATCAACTGGTATACCTCTTATGGTCCAGAATAATTTTTACCTTTTTTCAATATGGGCTTAATAATTTGGCAATAACTTATGAAAGCAAAGTGAAACATATATCTTTTTTTTTTTTTTTAGGCAAAACTAGTGTCGCTGTTTATAAAAAGTGTAAATTTTATTCTATAATGTGCCCTCTTTAAAATTACTTTAAATTTATATTTCTGGTCACAACAAAGTTATTCACAAAAAATAAAAGCTTTTTAGAAAATGTAGTGTATTTTTTATTAATGTGTCAGAAATTAACAAAGAAAGCAAACATTTGTTTTAAAAGGAAAAAAAAAAAAAAATGTAAAAAAATATTCAGCAGAAAAAAAAAGAAGAGAAAGGGTAGAACGACTTACAGGGCTATTCACAAAAGGGTGAAGAGTTTAGAGAAGGCAGGAAAAGTGAACAATCTAGGACAACAGAGCTGAACTGGAAAGTGAGCTGAATTGGAGAATTTTTCCAAAACAGCTATTTTGGCCTAGATTGTTCACTTCTCCTCCCTTCTCCAAACTCTTCACCCTTTAGTAAATAGCCCTGTAAATTAGCGCTAATTAGGTGTAACAAAAGCTGGTTAGAAAGTTTGCAGACTTTGTTTCAGTGCTCCTGCAATACAGATGATTACTGACAGCTCCAGAGCCAAAATATTAAGACCAGTAGGTACCAGGTATGCCCAAGATAGTTGGTTGAAGGGTACCGGGCACTAGTCCATTATTGGTTATTTCCCCTTAAAGTGAACCAGTCAAGACCTAGAAAGCATCTAAACTAACAATTCTGCCTAACAGCAAGCAGCATGTGGGGCTTTGAAGCATCTGCAGTGTCACCTACTTGGACAGTATTCAAGGCCCAGTGTACAACATAAAGAAAATGCTTATTACTAATCATTACCAGTGTTTGCCAAACACAGATCAAATATAACAACTGTATTACATTTATTTTTTTAAGATAAAAAAAGAAATTTTATTAAATATAACTGTCATAAAATACATATTAATCAAATGTTATATATATATATATATTTTTTGTTAGTCCAATAAGAAAGGTATCATTGCACACTGCAATACTGCGTTTATATATATATAGTGGCATTGTGAGGCAATACCACGGTGTTAGGTGGCCTCAAAGTCACCCAGGGTTCTCAGCCAGAGGGGCTGAGTAGTCTACTTTTATAAAGTTCTGCTTTCATAAAGAGTGCCAAGAATATGTAACAACCCTTACTGCCTTTCCCAATATAAAGCCAGTGTTACAGTAATAATGTTCAGTTCAGTTAGTTAAAATCTTTTACATCTCACATGAATTTCACAAAAACATCCTTTACTGCTTTACTGAACCCAATCATAGACTACTTCAGTAGGATCCAAAAATGTTTCTGCTATATGATTTCTTTTACTGGTGTTGCAAATCACTGCAATGGCTGGTGCGACATATATGACTAAACAGAGGAAGAAAGGGCATGTGATATCACATTGCTGCTTGATAACGTCCAATGCATTATACATAGTGAAGTATATGAAGTGAACTATAGTTATAGTGACGTGAACTATACACTGAGTGGCCTGATTATTATGACCACCCCATCAGTACTTCGTTGGGCCCCCTTTTGCCTTCAATACTGCGGCGATTCTTCTTGGCATTGACTCCACAATAGAAAGGTGATGCGAGGAATCTGACACCATGCCTGATGAATAGCATTGTCCAGTTCTGTGAGATTTGATGGTTGTGGAACCAGCTGCCTGATGGCTCTTTCAACTTTGTCCCACAAATACTCAATTCGATTGAGATCTGGTGATTGTGGGGGCCACCTAAGCAAGGAAAACTCTCCCTCTGGTTCTTGAAACCACTGCTGCACAATACGAGCACCATGGCATGGCGCATTGTCTTGTTGGAAGAAGCCATCTCCATTGGGATACGCCATCAACATGATAGGATGAACTTGATCAGCAACGATACTTTGGTATGTTGTGCTATTCAGACGCTGTTCCACACGAATTAAAGGGCCCAAATCATGCCAGGAAAACATGCCCCAAACCATAACACAGCCCCCACCAACTTGATGGGTTGTACTCATGCATGTGGGGTGCATGCTTTCATGCTGTTTCCGCCAAATTCTCACTCTGCCATCTGCATGATTCAACTGGAAACGTGATTCAGCGGACCACATTACTTTTTTCCAATGCTCGACTGTCCTATCCTTGTGTTCCTGTGCGTAAGGGAGACGTTTTATCTTGTTAACTGCAGACAGCAAAGGTGTTCGAACAGGCCTTCCGCTTCCATATCCCATACGATGCAGTGTACGGCGTACAGTGCGTTCAGAGATCATTTGAGAGGATCCCTGATTTAAGATCTGCAGTCATTTAATGCACTGTTGCCCTTCTGTTGTCTTGTACCAGTCTTGCCACTCTCTGTTCTGCCCTAACATGGACCAGTCGCTGACGGCCACAATTCGCACGTTCAGACCCAGATTTTCGGCAGACAGTCCAGTCTTTAAACACTTTAACAACAGCTGCTCTTGAACATTTAATGAATTCTGCTGTTTTGCTGATACTCGCTACATGGCTCCGAGCGCCAACAATCATCCCACTTCAAAGGCTGATAAATCGCATTGTTTACCCATATCTTCAGATTAAAATGACTTCTACTGTCATGGTAAGCAACCTGCTTCCCTATTTATAATGGTCTGGCCCTCTTGCAACTTCAGCGTGAAATTATAGCTAATTTGCCTACAAACGTCAGGTGGCCATAATAATCTGGCCACTCAGTGTAGTTATACTGTATAGTTAAGGTTGAATAAAGACACAGGTCCATCCAGTTTAACCTATGTGTGTGTATGAGTTACTTAGAGTAACTAAGATTTCCCCTCTACTTCTGTCCTGGTGACAATCCTCAAAATCTTGGTTTATCCGTCACTTTTTGTCCTGGTTACACTTAGATATTCATAGTGCTCACTAGAATTATGTCATACATTGTAAAATTCGGCAGTCCGGATGTCTGGTCACATCACATTTTTTAAAAATATTTTTCTCCAAAGGTGGGTGGCGCGAGTCTTGACTGCAGTACAAAACTCACATAATGACGTGTTGCAGTACTGTGAGCCTAGGCCAGTGTGATGACGCACCCCTACGATGTGCCAATGACAGCCTGGGCTCACAGGAAGTTGGTTGATATTAGTTGTTATTCAGCTTGGAAGAGGGGGGCCAGCTAGTGGCAGAGAAGATTTTCGGCAGGGGAGAGGGCCCTTAATAATGAAGGGTTTCCTTATTCAAAACTGTTCAGCCACTGAACATTTTTGCTGTGCATGTGGAGGCATAGGCTGCTACATCTCACCTTCTGTAAACTTTATTTGAAACGTATAGATATGTTTTTGGCTTTGCAAGCCCTGACATTCTCAGAAGCAATTCCATAGCTATTTGTCTTTCACTGTGCAGGTCTCTGTGAGTTCAAGGACTGCAGATTTTGCTCATTACGGTAGTCCTATCACATTGCTCATTTCATGTTCTGGTAGCCTAAAGGCCAAACTCATCCTTTGTAGCAGTTGTCACTAGAACAAATTAAGTATTCATTGTGACGCGTCTGCATTCTATGTGTGTGCTCTGAATTGCAAATTCTATCTTTAGAACGTCTAATGAAAGTGCAGCAAATGGACATATATTTTAAGCAACATACAGTTATTTGTACATGAAACAGATTTATTTTTATATGAGTTTGAGCAGAATTCATATTCACTCATACACAACATATTTGGATTATTAAAAAAAAAACTTTGTAACTTTGTAATGTTTGAATTATTAAAATCCTCATGTCACCATTTCCATATATATACTTCCTTTTTAATTGATGGATGATTAATGAATACACGGATGTTTTACCTCTCTACCCCAATGTTTCATTAATATGTGGCACACAAATGACCACGGTTTGGGATACATAGCATAGGCAATATGTCTTCCATCTCATGGAAATCTGATATGCAACATTAGTAAAATGGGTTCCACTGTAATAATTTGTAATGACGTAGAACACGTACAGTTCTCTATATTTCTGGAAACTAATACATCTTGCACACTCATTTTCATTTAATATGTATTATCTGTGTATTATTCTTTTATTTCTGTTTTATTATCTATGTAAAATAATTCTACTGCATTGTTTTTCTGTGCATAAAAAATAAATGCACTGCATTTCCATGGAACATAACCTTGCTACTATGGTAAATAATCAGAGATAACGATTTGAAGTCGGCTCTGTTCTATAATGTTTTATGCATACACATTTGGGGTTTTAAAATGTCAAACCATTTTGAATTACAACCATGGCTATCTGTGAATTCCGACTCTATGATCTAGTGCTGGTGCTCTGTAAAATTTAATTCTGTACTAATTTTATCTTCAATGATATATTGTTATAGGAAAATGATTCTGGAGGGGAATAGGAGATATTGATCTTTCCATACATACACTCAATAATGCTGCTGACCAATCTGCCAGGTCAGGGCAAAGATCACA